TGTTTTGGGGCGCCTGTTCCCACCCAGGGGCGAAGCGCTTGCTCCTGCAAGACGCGGGCGCCTCGTCTCTACCCGAGCGAGAGCTTCAGGCAACCCGGAGCGGCCAAAGGCTAACGGGTCGCGTGGCCAAGAAGGCCCGTCACCTCTCGTGTTTTGGGCAACAAACGCAAAACCCCCAAAACCCAGCGGTAACTTCCGTGGGCAGATCAGGACGCTACAGACAGGTATACGTGCCGCATCCTCCCAGCTGTTCTTTTAAGCACAGTGTAAAAAGCAAACAAGATCCACGTCACGCCCAACGCAGCGACACAGAACCCTCGAGGCCCGCGTCAGACCGAGCGCACACAGCTTGGCCGTGAAGGACAAGCCAAACTCAAACATAGACGGTGGTACAACATCAAATTTATCGGAGGATCATGATCAGGTGGGTCTGCCCCATTGCTACCTACCCAAATCATTTCCTGAGACCAGGCATATATCCAAGGCGTACAGAGCTACTCACAGGTCTGCTTAGAGCTGGAGAACCCACAGAAGAAAACCGCAGCAGCAAGTCTCTCCTCCACTTCTCAGAACTCCTGGTAATGACGACAGCATGAAGCCTAGCCAGTGTGTTAAAGACGAGGTGGAGCCCTGCATGTGAACATTATACACGAAATGCCAAACAACCTCCACTCCAGCAGCTTTTTCCTGTTTTATCCATCAATAGAAGGCCCCAAAATAAGAGTGCAAACTCTTATCCACCCTGTCCCCCTCACTTGAATGCTCACCTTGAAGATGGTTCAGAAAGCTTTCTTTTCCTCCTTCCTGCCTGTTTCTTTCTAATGCAGCCTTCTTACTGCCTTTCCGTCCATTTCTTTCCTCCTTTTGTTAAGTCCTACAAGCAATTAGCAAAAGCTTCTTATTCCCAGGGAACAAGACAACCAAAATTAACAGCTTCTTTTCAGAACACTTCGCAAAAGCTTATGCTCCGGTTCTGCTTCCATTACTGTGCATCACCTCCTCAGCAGTTGGAGTGGGACCACCTATCAGTCAGCAACTGTATTCAAATCTGTATTAATGCACAGAATTAAGAGTCAACGTATGCCAGATTTCCTGTTAAGTTTAACCTCTGTGGAATAGACAGCCAATGAGAAGCTCCAGCAACTGGCTCTTACCTTTTTTCCAAGAGAAAAAAAAAAAACCAAACCACCAAAAAGATGGTGAAGACACAAATTGGTTTCTACAATACATTAGTGACCTGCTCTAATATGGTAGGGCTGAAGCAGTAGTCTAGCTAGCAAGCAGCTCATATGATTTAAAAACAATCAATACTGGACAAGAAAGCTTTATCATTCCATTATAGAAATTAAGTCTCAAAATCAGTAAGAACTATAAGTATTTTCTACATTCCTTTGGCCGATAATACTTTCCCTCGTTCCCTGAAGATTCTCTCACAAACAAGTATTCATCTGATCGATGGCTTTGACAGGTCATGCTCAGTGTCCTACTAAACTGGAAAGAACCAGTCTGAGTCAGAGCTTAGGGGCTCCTGCACCATGGCTCACAGTGCCAAGGGCACGGGATGTACCTCACCTGCTGTAGGGAAGAGAGGCACTAGACCTCAGAAGGTGATGAGCCTATCACACCATTCATAAAAAAGAAAGTACTTCCACAGACAGCACTGCAAAAAAATTAGAGAGATAAAAGGAAAAAAAAAAAATCCAAGGCCAAGGACTTGCCCTGCTTCAGTCAGATGTTGGTGGTTCAAAATCACAAGAGACACAGAGTCACACACTCAAGCAAAAGCCCTTGGAAGCATGTACTGCCCAATGTATTTGTATGCCCCATCAGGGCAACATATACTAAAACATGTTATATGACTAATTATCCACTAACATAGCATTAATTATCTGCTTTTTCTAGGTTCAAGTCCCTAACCCAAGATTCCCATAAGTACTGGCAGAAGGTAGGTCAGCAAGGAAAAGACTATTCAATTTTCAGACACACTGAATTTTGGTCCCGTTTACTAAGGAACTGCTTGATTTAGGAAGAGACATTCCAGAAGGCTACCAGTAAAACAGCAGCAAATATGGAAAACACCAGTACCTTACACATAACAGAGTCAAGATTGCACATGGTATGGGCCAAGAAACTCTGCTGGCAATCAGTTAATGCTGGTCACTTCAGCAGTCTGCAGAAGAGCACTTGGATTATCCAGGGCCCCAAAGCAGACGCTAAAAGACTAACACTGACCTCAACAAGTTCTATACATGAAAAATTGACTCTTCTGTCCTAAGTAGAAGACAGTAATCCTCTGTTCTAGACCACACAATTAGCATCTGTTCGATGAAAAGACAATTACAGAAAATCTGTGCTAGCAGCATGAAGTCTTGGTTATTGGTAGCAATTTAATTTTTATCCATAAGCTGTAGTGACAGCTGAGGCCACAGCAAGGCACGGCTCAGGCTGGGATGGGATTGATGAGAAGATTCACTGTCCTAAAGACATTTCAAGAAGAGAAGCATTAAAATTTGCAGAGCCCAGATGCATGGAAATACTGACATGAAAACCATTTCTTTAGACATCTACCTGCAGCCTAAGCAAAACAAAATGGCATTCATTTCCAGCAAAAAAAAAAAAAAAGTATTCATTGTCAGGAAGGCAAATACTAGGGGAGGAAAAGATTTGAACAACAGCACATCTTTCTAGACCTCAGTCACCACTGCTCTTAACTGATGGCCAGAAACGCCGCTGGAGAAGCTGCAGTTATTAACCTTTCTTTAGACATCCCAGAGGAGAGGTAGAGAATGAAGACAGACCTATTAAAAAGTTTTTCAACCTACCAAAAAAAGGTGTGAATCCAGCACTGGCTTTGCCCATATATCCACTCTCCAGTTTCCCAGAAGGGGGACAGGGGGATCTGGTCTATTTTTCTGCTGTCCTTTGGGAAAGTATTTATTCCCACTTAATTCAAGAATCAATTATTTTCTCTCTTGCCCTTCATATCAAGATCAGGCCAGTCCACACTACGACCAACCATTGCATCTTCACAGCAGAGGTGATTACTGCCGAGAACACTACGGCCATGCTGGATTCTTCTAACATCTCCCCACTGCAGGCTTCATGGGAGCACTACTGAAGGTCTCGGTGAGATGGTACTGTGATCTTCTAATATCTTTGCTCAAGGACAGCAAATCAGGCTTTTCTATCTAGGGCTGCAGGTAAACATGTAGTTCCATTAACAAGAACGCACACCTTGGACACCGCTGTTAGCAAGCCCTTAACAGTTGAGTTTTTGTTCTCCTGACTGCCCAGCAGCATCAGAGAACTTCCCAAGTTCTAGTTAGTTTCCGATCATCATCTTCCTACATTAAGGTTATCTGTTATCAAAGACTCCTGCTCCCCTCTCATACTCTTCATACCAGATTTCAAGGGGATGAAAATGCAGTATTTTGAGGCATCTTCTCTAAGAACAGCTTTCAATAAGTTGGGATCTTGTCCAAGTTTTGCCAGCATCATTTCCTTCTTACCCCCAAACTAAGCTGACACCCACCTTATTAATACAAAGGCAGCATTTCACATTGCCTTTGCAATTTGAAACACTATAGCAAGCCAGAACCTGCACCAAGTCCATCATTAATAGTTAATGACACCTATCAAGACCAAGTCCTAGCCAACACACTCTGAAGTGAACATCATCTGCTACAGACAATTTGCTTTTAGGGAGCAGATAGCCCCTGCAGTACTATAGTGGAAGTGCTTTAAAGCTACCAAAAGTGCTGTTCTCATTAAAAAAAAAAAAAAAATTATAAAGTTCAAAAGGGAAAAACCCCAGTACTTTAGGATGGTCATCTGTAAAGACACCTAGACAATAACTGAACAAACCAACTGCCAGGCTCAGTTGTTATATTTTCTTCCACTTCAGATGTGCTTGAAAGAAGTAGTTAGGCAAGTCAACTCCCTGGCATTGTTTTGGCCTGAATTTGTGCTCCAGGTTATGGCAACACAACAGTGCAATACTACTTTTTTTTTTTTTTTTTAAAAGGCAAAAAAAAGCAACAATAACCTGTTCATCATCCTTCACATGATGCTTGCTATGGAAGTTTCCAACCATGCAAAAGAAGTATTTTAGCTAAAAAGTAGTAAGTTTAATTTGGACGCAGTACACATCAAGTATTGTGAATATAATAGAAAAGACTCAAAGCCCCTAAAAAACCCCCACAAACTGCTTCTGGTTTTAGTAAAGCTGGTAAAGAAAAGATTGTGATCTATAAATGGTTTGTGTTAAAATGATATACAAGAGGGAGAACAGCAATTAATTTGCACTTTTGTGCAGCTCTGTAGTTTTACATAAATTTATTTCAAGGAAATGAGTTGTGCCAAGTAGAAATTACAGTCTCAATGCCAAATGCATCACTAGGTGAAAAACTCCTCCCTTCTCCTTGACTACTTTATATTTAATATTTTTTAGCATGGAATTATTTTAAAAAGTTATTTTCACGTATTTCTTTTTAACAGCAACAGTTGGTTCAGGGCCGCTTTCCTTCCTCCTAGAGGTGGTTAGCAAACAGAGCTCCCATGGACACTGCTCAAGGATCAGCCTTCTTTAACGTGAGAGAACTTGGGGCAAGAATACAAAGTTCTTGATAGCTCTCCTCCAGGTGCAGCTTCTGGGCTCTCCTCCTGGTCAGCCAGCTGAGGTCACATTAGCAGCTCTTCTTCCCCCAACACCTTAATTAGGTAAGATTAGTCTGTTCAGAACGAGGCAGGTCCAGATAGTGGGTTTCATGGCAATTTGGAGAGTTATTCTTCTCCATACAACTATGCTTTCTTTGCATATTTTAGTGGTGAATTTCAATATGTAATCATCAATTAATAAGTATCAAGTTGTCATCACTCTGTTGTCTGCAAAAGAAAAAATTCACAAGTTTTCATTCAGCAAGAAATGCAATAGGAAGCATTTACCCGTACAAAACCGAGCCCAGTTTTGATCCTCCTATTCTGTGCTCTCCCATTTCAGCACACAGCTCCAACGCCTGCACTGGGACAACCAGCCAGAAATGCTATAGTAGCAAGGGCTCTAGATTTGCACTCCAGCTACCAGGCTTGTGCCCTCAGTACTCTGCAGCGTATTACAGTAAAGCATATTTATTCTGCTTGAGCAGACAAAAACCTCTTATCCTGCACAATGACTTGGATGTGAAACCTGAAGCTGTACCTGGCCTAAGTTCCTATTAACTAGTTGGCTTTCAAGTGTCCACAGCAACTGCCAGGATACCTGCCCATCATCACCTCACATGCTCCTTTTTGGCTATGAGGTTTCCCTCTGCCAGAGTACATCAGAAGTATAAAGTTGCATTTCACAAAAGCCTCTGTATATAAGCAGACAAGTATCCTACTGCTAAAATAGGATTTGTTACACCAGTTGGGATTGAACAAGTGTTCACATTCAGCTCTACACCTTCTCCCATAGCCTGGCTTCCTTGCGCAGTGCCCATGACCATTCTGTGCACAAGCAGGAATTCCCCCAGACTAACTAGGGACAGTGACGAGATCCCTTCACTCTCAATCAGGGATTCAGAGGTGTGTTAGGTTTCTTCAGAAACAGAATTCAAAGAACAGACTTCCAGACCAGCAAGCACCAGGCGAGATGTTCATCTCTCACCAACATCAGCTTAAAAAAAAAGGACCACTGCTAAGACCTCCAAAGGCTTGGGTTTGGTGGCAACCAGACATTTAGAAGCGTGTTTCCAGTATTCTGACAAATGGTATTGAACCAGTTCGCCCACAGACACGGCATAGCGTTGGGATTAAGTACTGGTCCCTGGCTGAATCACATTCTCTTGCTTTCTGCTACTACTCCCAGCCTAGTGGAAGAGCATTTTAGAAACAGAAGACTTGCAAAACCCTAAGAAGCAGAGACATGTTTGCTCTTGACTCCTTGGCAGTTCCATGTTATACTCTGCAGTCCTCCCACCAGCTTCCACCAGTTTCTGCATGGTAGTTTTCATATGAGCAAAACACTTAAAACGTGCATTTAATTACAGCCCCTGCACCATCAGCAGACTAAAGATCTAACACCAAGTGAAGTGCAAGAGGAACAACAGAGTCCAAATATTCCGCAGGCTGAATTCTGAATGCTCTAGCATTTGTGAAACAGCACTTCGCAGTGAAAAGCTAACTAGTGCACTTCTGAGAAAAACACTCATTAAAGACACCCTACCGACCTCCTACAGCAGCAGATGAACGGCATGGAAGTCTGTTCTTTTCTGTAACCAACACTGCCATGGTCTTTCAGAAATTCATGTAGATCTGTTACTGGAAACCCACCTTGTTGGTATTTCTGAAAGAGAAAGCATTTCATTTATGACACGAGAAGTTACTGTGCACAAAGTGTTCTCAAATTTCCTCTGGAGTGTGATAGCCAAAACCAGACTATTTGGTTCATTTGTTCAGTATTGCTGTAGAAAGAAGAAAATACAATCCTGTCCTAGAAATACCACATAGATTGCTTTGTTCCACCAGCTACATAAGTGACATAAAATTCATATTGTTCACAGATTGTCTTACATTTTGTTTGCTGTCTGTAAGACCAAGCAAGTGATCTCAAGTCATACTGGCATTGATTCTCCCTTGTTCACATCAGCCTCTGTGCTCATTGTGAGTGCTCTGGGCTCATTTTCCCTAGGAACCCCGATGCTGGATTCAAAGGGCCCTAATGTGGATATTCAGCATTGCCGTACTGAAGAAATGCTCTGCAAAACACCAGTTCAGCACACTGAAATGGCTCCCCATCGATCCACACGAAGTGCTCAGAGAGAAGAATGACAGTAAAACACTGTTGTGCAGGTCAGACCATCCAATAAACTCAGAAGCACAGACAGGTAAGTTGCATTTTGAGATGCTTAGAAAGTAGAGCTCGTGCTCAGTCTGGAAGTTGTGTTTCATGTCAGACTAGTCTTATTCTGCTGGCCTGTTTATCTGATGCTAAGACAAGAAAGGGACGAGAGCTAAAGAGCGTGATCCACATTTCCTTCCCACTGGTTACTGCAGCTACCAGGAGCATAAAGGAGACAGAGCACTAGAGGACAAGAACAAAAGCGAATTACCAAAAAGTTCATTTCACTTTCAGACAGTTCGCAATGGAAATCGATGGTGCAATTTTAACTTGAACGAGAAGTGGTGGGTCTTTCACAAGACATTTCTTTTTAACCACGCATTTCCAAGCAGCACATTAAGCAAGCCTGGACACCTAAGTGAGTTTAGAGTTATCTGCTTGGCCCTTGCCACACTCCTGCCAAGGGGATATTCTCTGAGATGCCAGCAAACCCTTCCTGACCTCAGCTTCTGGCGCCACGAGAAGAAATGTTCACTCCAAACAAGACTTACCTACCTCTGTGTAACTACACTTAAAAATTGACTCTTTCCACTCATCCTTCCACTTGCGTTTCCATCAGCTGTTACCTTTTTGAAGCTAGCTGAAGTAGCAGAAACTACAGAACAGGGACACACACTAAGGATGATTTTCCAAACCAATTATCGCTTAGTCATTTGGATGACTACCCAGTCATCCTCCCAGTTTCACCACAGACTAAGCTAAAAGATTTTATTAGTCTTACCAGTCATTATAACTAATGCTAGATAGTATGGTGCTGAGTGATTAACAAGAATGAATACAAAACTGATTAGAAGTGTAATGGGGGGAAAAAAAAAAATATTTACCTTTATGGTGTCATAGGAGTCGGTAATGAGTGCAATAAAAAGGCTGAGGATCATGTATATAAACAGGCTAATGAAGGAGTACAGATATAACCGACTGAACACCCACACCAGCATGCTCTTCTGCTGGATTTGAGCAAATGTTGCAAACATATCATCACCATTGACCAAAGAAAACAGACACTCAGCCACCGTGTTCAGATCTTCAAACTAGAAAATAATGAGTACAAATTATTAATAGAATATAAAGATCTATCATCCACATTAAAGGGAAAGTGAGACGCATTATAAAAACAAAAGTTTTTTTTTTAAAGGGTTTTACTTGTAGCAGAAGAAAAAAAACAACCCAGTCAATCAAATGCTACCATACTTTCCTGTATGTTCTGCCCAAAACATACATGTCAGTAATAGAACCATGTAGAAATATAATCTTGGCTAAGCATTACACACTGACATCAGAAATAAGATTTATTATCAAGAAATAAACTTGTGATGCTCAACAGGCAAAACAACCAGTAATTGACCACCACAGAAAGTTTAAGTTACTGAATTTTAAGTTGTTTTAGACCTGCAGGAAAATATCGTTCTGTTTGCCAAAGCACACAGATAAAGTGATTTCACAGATTCTATACAGTAAATCAGTGGCAGTATGGTGGGAACAGAATCCACATCTTCTGGTTTCCCAGCTCTGCAGCATTACTGGAGTAGGGGTAATTAATCAATATTGTATTGAGAAGTTAGAGACAGCATACAGCCTTCAGAGGTTGAATGGTCTAAACATTTCTCTTGTGATAACATCATCTCTCTGTCATTCAGAAACCCCCGAGCTGTAGGTAAAAGCTATACCTGCAGTGTGAAGCTAGTAAGGACACCCTAGACAAAATCATGGTTTCATTTCAAGGACATCCTCTTAAATTCCTAACTCCATTTCCCCAAGCTGGACCATGCCCTGAGACTAAATTCCATTCAGCAACCAGGTAAGCACACTTCCCACCACCGCTCTGTCCCTGCAACACAAATAACTAGTTTTGTTAACTATACTTTATAGGACGATATGAATCAATGCACAACGTCTTAATGTAGCTATTATCAATGAAGTAACATGACTATATCCACTTGAATTGTGGTCCTATATTGAAAACAAGATGTCAAGAGGCGTATGTTTGTAAGGAGAACATACTGTTGCACAGGAACGGCAGGTCTGGTCTTACCTATGGCTTGTTTATTTTTAAAGCCATTATGAGACCCAGCAGCACATTTTCTGAGAAGGGGTGCATGGCATGGGTAATTCTTGAGTAACCCACAAGTTTTGATGCATGGGTACAGGGAGAAGCCTGTAAGGATTGTTCACCTACAAGCTCCTGGATTGACATTAGCACAAAACGCAGGATTCCCACTCCCTCTCTCTCTCTGGCTGTAGTAGAAGAAAAAAACCCATACGTATTTCTATGTCTCTGAGCTAAGGCCTTCAGAATTTTTGAGCCCAAGGACCTCTGTCCTGCGTACCTGCAGAGCAGGGAAGGCTCTTCCCATTTCTTACCAGGGACAGCTCATGCAGCCGGAGCGCCCGGCGAAGCCAGCCCTGGGCTCTGCGCAGTGCCACACTGCCTTCCAGTGGGGTACTGGGGAACTGGCAGAATCGGGAAACCCCCATGCAACCACGCTGGCTTGCCTTGCTAAATATCGCAGATCAATGTCAAGAGGTAACATTTTCATAGATAAGCATATTATTGACTACACTTCCTTTTGCTCAGATAATTAATGCACTTGCTGCAGGGAAGCTACGACAGTATTTATGCTGTGCTTGTCATAAACAATTGAGCCTCTAGTATGACTGAGGATCCCACAGCATCCAGCATCCCGTGGAGAAATGTATTGTCATCAACTTAACATATGTGCAGACTGAATGCCTACATTTCTCAAAGGAGAGAATTACATTATGTTACAGTAATCCAAGCTCTGGGGGTGCAAGAAGCTGAAGCAAGCACTGCAGCATGTGTCTCTTACAATATATACTGTGTATAACCAGAAATTGAGAACGAGAAGTCATACATTTGTTACTGACTAATGGACATCTAGAATTTATCACAACAGGAATCTGCCTTTTTTCAAACTGTCACATAGAGCATCTGCCAAGACAAAACAAACAAACAAGCTTTGTGGGGTTTTTTTTGCTTGTGTTTTGGAATATACAAAGCCTTGCTGCTGTAGCCAGGTTTCAGACAAGAAGACATACCAGGCACACAATTTGATATCAACCTTAAAAAAAACCACCAAACCCAACAAAACAAACAAAAAACCCCCACAACAAAGCCCCAGACAGGAAGCAAAGTAAACAAGACAAGCATTCATCCACCCCTTTATGAGTCAAGATCTAGGAGCTGAAGTTACATGGCACAGGAAAGATTCAGAAAAACAAAGTCAGAGTCAAGGAGATTCCCAGAAATGGTAATGGTGAACTAGTGCCTCTTTAACCCAACTGAACCAGGATTGCCAGAAGAGGGCGAAAGAGATAAGACCAATTTACCTCTAGTCCCCAGCCAGACATTGCCTGGATAAACCATCCACCCATCAAGCACAGCCTTGTGTTTGAGATTACGCTGAGTTCAAGCACACAGTGAAAGCAAGAATACAGTTATTTTGTTAAGTGCAGCAGGCATACATGGAAGGAGAAACACTCTCATGTTCCTCATGTTACAGCTTTTAAACAAAACATGAATTTAAGACCTACTTCTGTTGTTACAACTAGATACTGTACACACAGAGATATTCACACATCGTTAGACCAGAAAAGGAGTACATACCTTTTCGTGGTAAGGTCCCAGGACAATCCAACCACAGAAAGTATAGCCAAGATAAATCATCCCAGCACAACAACAAAACCTTAGCACTTTGGGCAATGACGCCTGCATAGTTAAAATGAGCACCTACATGTCGGGGCAGAAAAAAGGAGAAGGCGAAAACGCCACAGGTTAGAGAAACCTGAGTAAGAGTGACAAATACATGCTTTAATTGTTGAACATTTGATTCATGCCTTACATTGTAGGTTTGAAAATATCCCAGGTATCTGATGACTCCAACCCAGACAAACAAAGTTGACGTTCCAAGTAAAATGCTGCAGACGTCATAACTTGTGAGGGTCTGAGGGATCCAAAGAGAGCAGGTGGTCAAGTTAAAGCGGTAGGTATGTCAGCTTGACAGCTACTCATGTTCCAGCAGTTCAAACAAAGAAAGCAGGGCAGTCCAATACTGAAAGGATGTTGCTACATCACAAAAATCAGACCAAAGTGAACTGTAGTTATTTAGTGAGATCACCCAAATGCAATAGCGCTGCAAATGAAAGCTCATCTACACAGATATTCTTGCCGTTTTGCATGAAGAACTACAGCCTTTACCTTGGTTATGACACAGTTTTAATATCAGATTGAATGGCTCCAAGTTTTTGTTTAAAAAAAAGTGAATATATGCTACTGTTAGGCAAACAGGCTCTCATTTGCTATTTAGTAAGACATGAGCATATTTAAAGGGAAAGTGAGACTCAGGACTACAGCCCTTTCCACGCTACACGCACTTATATCTCTGGACAGGTTGCCAGCTGTTCAGAGCCTGAAATTTTTTTTTTTTTTTTTTTTTGACACTGTCAGTGAAGTTTATAACCAATTCTACTTGCATTTTACTTTAGAAGGCTAGAACTGGTTGCAACAAGCACGAGATACCCTCCTAGCTCAAGATTTCCTACCCTCATCCTCCCACCTCAGCATACAGCTGGAGGTTCTCAAGTGCTTCCTCCGAAGGCCACTCCGGGCATCTGCCCTTTGAGCCTTAGTACATGTGAAGCCGGAGTAGCACACTACCCTACTCTCTTTTTCCCAGAATACAAAGGTTTGTGAACACATGAATTGTTGACATACAGCTCTGCTGAAAGAAAAAAGAAAACACAATCCAACCAACCAAAAAAGAAAAACCCACCCAAAAAACCCCTGAAGAGCTGCCAGCTGGAAAAAACGCATTGATTTCAGCAAGCCCAGACTGGGAGGTCAAGGACTAGCAGGTGACACTGTCTGTGCCTGTAGTTTGGACAGGCCATGAAAGCAAGCTGTAACAGCTATGTTTCCAGTCCCACAAGCCATCAAGACCCCTGTTTTATCCAAGGGAATAGACTCTTGGTTTCCCTGTACAATTGTACCACTACTTCTTACAGAAACAACGCAACCCAAGTTGTAGGGGTTTTTTTGTTGTGGTTTTTTTTGTTTGTTGTTTGTTTGTTTTTGTTAGGAACTGTCTAGCCAGACGTCCTATACCAGGCATTAGGGGATTTAGCAGTGTGGAAATAAGATGTTTAAATAGCTTACGTGGTCTTACTGGAAGACTTTGGGGAAAACGGACTGAAACCAGTTATCACTCAAACTAGCACTAGGAAATGAAGAAATAAGAACTAGCAAAAGTAAACAAGATGACTAGTGACTACAATATCTCACTTTCATCTGCCCCCAAGTTAAACCACATTACATATGGTTGTAACAAGACTAGTATTTTATCTAAAGCATTAAACTCTCACCTTGGCTTTTATTTCCATTTTTAGGATTGACCCAATGATTGTCATCACATCACTGATAATTACCAGGACATACCATCCATTTATGAACTCCAGGCGATCAGCATGACAGACATGACGCTTATATTTCTCCAGGAAGAAGTTCACAAATCTCTATTGACAAGCAGTTAGATGTTTAGTTACAGGTCACCTTACATGACAAATATGTACAGATGCCCCAGTAGTATAGCAATGTTCAAGTTTCACATACCCCCTTTTCCTATTGCATTTGCTGGAGTAATAGCTTAAAACTCATTCTCAGTATCAACAGAAATAGGAAAAAAATTAAGATTGGTTTAGACCAGTGAAAATCATCTTTCCACAGAACAGCTGACTTCAAACCAATCCCCACCAGCCTAACCATGGCTTGTTACCCCCTTTTTAGCCCCCTTCACAAGTTTCCATCCACCTCCAACAGAGCAAGACCACCCAACTAAAGGAGTTAAAAAGAGAATTAATAACTCAAATACAACTATAAGGCAAGAGCTCTCATTTGCAATATAGCCGAGAATATCACTCCCCACATTCAACACTGCCTATCTGCTTTCACTTGCTCTTTTTGCTCATGAATAAATGCTGATGTCCCTATTCCTGACAGCAGGTTGACAATGCCTTTGCTGAATTGCATCCTCTTCACCCTTGTCTTGTTTACAAGCTACAAAAATGATATATTGAACAAGATAAACAAGTATCTGTGCTTTCATATCCTACCTATCCTGAACTCTTCTTCCAACTCCCACAAGCCACATGCTTGCAAAGTTTGTATTGATTAATGGTTATAAGCTGGAACATCTCACAGCCCAGCTTGTGTTTCTGCATCATTAGACCAGAAGAACTGCATCTGCTTACATGAAACTCTGCAAGCAACTTGAGATGAAGTCAGACAGGGCTAGTCTCAGCCTGCAAAGGAGGGTGAGCAGGGAAGAAGGTGACAGCAGAGGGTGATCAGGGATCATGGAGGGAAGAGGAGGAAATAAGAACTGAAAAAGGGTGGTTCCAGCCCCAGAAAGACCAAAAAACCCAGCCAGAGTTAGACTATATGCTATGCTTTACATTTTCTCCAGTTAGAGCTGGCTTTGAGGGATAGTCATTAAAGCATTGATTTATGACAAGACCTCTATGGAAATTCTATTCTGAAGCCAGTGAAGGAAGAATTCGTGTTTTCAAGGTGCAGGATGTTTTGACTGTTAGCAGCACAAAGACTCATAAGTTTTTTGTGCAAAATCCTGGACAAAACTGAGGTTGGGGCGGGGAGGGGAAAGAGTCCTTCTTTTGCCCTCAAGAGATACAACAAAATACTTCGTATTACAGCGCTTACACAAACAGAAGTAAAAACCCATTCAGCTAGCAACCGTTCATCACAGACATCTACCCATCCTTTCTAGAGATAGAGATACAGTAAGAGAGCAATGTCCTGCAGCATATACACTACCAAATGTTTCAAAACATATCATTTGACAAGACTAGCAGCAAACAAGACAAAGACAAAATAAGCATTGGGATTATGGGTTATGACCACTGTCCTTACTTTTTGTAGTCTCAGGGCAAGAACAATGGATCGTGTGCAGAGGACAAGAGAAGCAAAGCAACTTAAAATGACAAATCCATCAAAGACTAGAATATACTGAGTGTTTTTCTGGAGAACTGTAAAGAGTCCAAGAAAGGAAGTAAAGTTAGTCTTTTCACATCTCTCTGAGCACAAATTGTTACAAAGTGTCACATGTGTTGCATTTAAACACTCTCATGCCATAAATATATATGTTATGAGAAATACTCTTTCTGCAGCTATGGAGATTGGGCCACAAGAGTGAAAAGCATGTTCAAGTTCTTCAAAATAAAACCAAAAATGGGTATATTAATACAAGTGCCCCTTTTTGCACTAAGTTCATCTGTCCATTTGTACTCCAACAGCGTTACAACTACACAGGGTTAAAAGAAATGCAGACTGTGGCCCATACCAGCATTATTAAATAAAAACCAAACAAAAAATCCCACCTCATTTCTCATTCCATGACCTACGATCAGAAACTTGTTCTACTTTCTGTGCTGTATTCTTTTCATCCACAGGTTTATAAGCCATCATGTGAACCCACATGAGGTATTATTTTCCTTGGTCTGCTCATATCAATTGACAAACAGGATGGGGAATGTCTTGCTAGAAATACTGTTCTAGGGCAGCACAAATGAAGGGAGGAGATGTGTAACACTGCTATCATGCAAACACACTTGCACCATACTTACCAGAGCCAAATACGTGCCAGTCTTTACATTCTTCAATATCAGTGTCACTATCAAAATAGATTTTGATTTTTCCACTGTGGGCTCTGTTATTGAAAGTTATCTGGAAACACAAGAGTATATCAGAAACAAGACTAACAGAATTTCATTCCCTCAAAAAAAAAAAAAAAGCTTGGCAAGTGCTTTGGCATAATACGCATTTATATTTGTTGGTCAGGTAAGCTTTAAGAAAGCTGCCACCGCAAGTCTTGGTGTAGTCTTAATTTGACAACATCACATATAGTATAAAAAGCAGTGCTCCAAGAAGCCAAACTTCAAGTTCAATCTTTAGAAGAATAACAATTACTTATCTCCTTCTCAAGTTAGGAAGTTACCAGCTGGAATATGATACAAAATAATATTGTCCCTTGGCAACACCATTCTCAGCAACCTTTGGGAAGGAGGGGTAACGGTCCGGACATGCTCAACTGCTTTTCCCTTGCAGTCATAAGGATGCTAACTACCCCTTAGCTTAAGCCCTTGTTATATATACGGTGTTGGAAGTGCCATGCCCCATATTCACTTACAGTATTTTGAAACGCATAGCAGTCAGGCAATTCACGAGCATGGATCGTCTGTAGAGCAATGCCCTTCAGCTTGAAAGAGATTTCAACCTGTATAAGCCTGGATTTTTTAAAAAGTGTATAAATATGTATATATATATATAAATACACAAAAAAATACACACATACACAAAGCCAGGAAACTGCACAACTCTGAATCTACCATATTCATACGAAAGGACAAGTTAAAAATAAAAAAGTCCCCACCACTGCTTTACCTGTAAAATTCAAGATTGAAAAAAGAGGAGTTCAACTTCAGTTCAGCCTTCTTACCAGCTAGCTCCTGTGGCTTAAAAAAGATACATTCTGGGAGGAGAAGAGGAAAAGCTGTAATCTTAAAAACTTCACACAGAAAGCAGCATAAAACTGAGATAATCACGTTGAATGGCAAGTCCTAATTAGGCAAAATGTTAATTTTGAGCAAACCTATCCACAGAGAGCCCCAGCTAGTGGGATCAGAAGCAAGTTCATGTAGTAAATCTTGAGAGGCTAACAGCAAGGACTCTGCTCCGAGAGGTGGTAAGGACACCCACCCACTGAAGGTACAGACTGACCAGCATCCAGAATTCTGTATTTGAACTTTCTGCATGGAAGGGGGGAACAAAAAAAAAAAAACACCCCACAAACCCACCCACAACCCACTAACGACAGCAGTTGAAAAGAGCTTCCTATAGTCTACACAGTTGCCATTTCTAGGCAGGTACTAAAAACCAAGAGGAAAACAGGGAAAAGGCATGTTACTGTTCCTATGACTGCCACGCAAAAAGCTACTGGTTTTAAACTTTACTGATTTAGCATTAGAATATAAGTATTCCATAGCAAGACATTTTTAGTACAACAATACTATACCTGTTTCAGTAGAAACATCTATGTTCAGTGTATCGTTGGAAGGAAGCATCGTGCCTTTCTTGTACTGGTGCTTACAGATTTTTAAACCTGATCCTTCATGTTCATAGCCAAGCGTCCCCAGGGATATGTTCTTTAATTCCTTGTACTAGTTTAAAAACAAAACAGAAGCAGAAGTTACAGAGATAGTTGTCTTTTTTGCATTAGATAGTAACTTGCAATTTCAAAGTTATGTGTATCAATAGAGCTCTTCACATTTAAAAAAAAAAAAAAAACCCAAAAAATCTTTACTTTCACATAAAGTCTGTAAATTGAGAGTGGATATCTCATGGGAAGCTAAGAGGGCTGCTGGCCACTAATTAGTAGTGACTGGCATCATGGTGACACAGTGACTGGGAGCCCCATACCTACTGGGCTGCCTGCAAATGATTACCCACGTGCCAGACAGCAAGCCAGCAGACAGCTTTTAATTAGATGCCTGGCAGCGACTTCAATGCAGCATTGCTACTAACCACACACGCTCCAGGGATACCTTATGTATTTATCTCATGAAGGTGTTGGTTTTCACACCACTTGAAACTTCATTGCTTTATATACAATGCAAGTCACAGTTCTTATCAAATCCATCCCAAAAGTAAAACCAAAGCTGCTCCCTGTGTGGCTATAGGAGAGGGAAGCCACGTGTTCACTATATAACCAGCAACCAAGGAACATACACAGAGCTTGGGCAGCCTCCAGAAGTAGTTTAACCTGCCTGCTTTACACAAGCACAGAAGCAACTGAAAACATGCCTGCGAGGAAGGCACTTTCTTTTTCACTTACTCTAAATACAGCACAAGTCACCTTCTTCATATGTTAAGATACGCTCGAAACCAAGGACTAGAAGCGGAAGCAAATAAAGCTATGCCAAGCCAAGCATTGTCCACGCATGGATCAGCCCTGAGCACCACCAAAGAACAAGGCCAGGCCTCTCCTGACTTGCCTTCCACATGCCCTCGATGTCTGCTGGAAGCAAAATGCATCCTCTGATCCTTGGAGTCACACCTCCCAGTCCTGCACAAGCCAGGCAACCCGGGGCACATCCCTCCCTGTGGTTCTTGAGTCCTCAACAGCCAAGGAGATCAACAACCAACTGTGAACGCAGCTGTCTGCCAGCTCAGCTTAGCGCCAGCTCAGCTTAGCACCAGCTCACATTGTCCAAGAGAAGCCAGATAGACCCCTGGCCCTTTGAGGAAGAAGGCATAAACTTCTAGCAATTCATTAGTTTTTATCATCACCTCACCTAGTGAAAGAGCTCAGGGCAGCGTACAGCGTTGGTCCACTCTGAAGGAAGCATTTACCTCCCAGGAGGCCAGGGTAAACAAAGGTGGGAAGCCAGACAAGGCTTCCCATTCCTTAAAAAAAACGTTCAGCTGCCTTTGATACAGATTAGACCCTTTACCCCTTAAACACGGATTTTGTTATTATGCATCATTCAGCATCATCCTCTTTCCTCCTTCCTATGGGCATTATGGCCACCAGCCCATCGTGTGGGGTACAAACTCCCAGTGGTCATTAACAACCACTGTGTCCAAAAGAACTGTAACAGGAACCACATGTTCATCCAAAACTCCACCTTGCAGCGCCGTTTCGACTCCTCACAGCTGGCCCTGCAACAGGTTCAGACAGCCTGGGGGAAGAGCATAACCTCCGTACCCTGTCAGAACATTATCGTAAAGTAAACTAAGGAAGCCAAGTCTGACTAAGGCAGGTCAAGTGAGTGGAAACAGTAGTTAGTCACAACTCCACATCCCTCTGAGGACATCTCCAGATGACTGCACCTACCAGCCGCTGCTCTGTCCACATGTGCTGTCAGGCTCTGCCCTCCTGACAGCTCAACACGTGGCTCTGGGTTACTCACATGCCACTTTCAAACAACACTACGAAACAGTAAAAGCAAAATCCCTGTTTACGCATTTCTAAGCGGCCTCAGACAGAGCAGCCAGCAGAACATCCTGGTGCTCCAGACTCTGCTGCAGGCAGGATACAAGCATAACAACTCCGCACGGCTTCTTTGTAAGAGAAGCTTCCAAACTGGACCCAGGAGAGGAGTAAGGAAAAGCTGCTTACTCTTCCAAGTGGCAAGTATGTTCATTTTTTTCTTTCAGAGTGTGAAAATATTGCAGTGGCACACTATACAAAGCCTAAAATTCCATTTTTACAACTCCAGTTTTGCTGTGCACTATTACCGTCTTCTGTAATATCATGTCTTTCTGTTTGCCCCACCCACCACACATTTCAAAATAAAACTCAAAACAGAACACCAAAACCTACGGCTTCTAGCTGCCCATCTCAAAACAAAAAAACATTCCTTTCAGCTTAGGAGCCAGCCAGCTTGTATCTTTCTAGAAGGCACCCTTTTAAAAAGCAAAACAACCCAAAAAAGCAACACCAGTCATAATGTTCACCTGGAGGCACACTTTTTTAAGCCTTGTATGTGATAAAAAAAGCCTCAGGAACACCACAGAACACTGAAGAACCCAGATTACACAAGTGTAAATCTCCTTAAAGGATATGTCTACATTCATACAACATAGACATTTTATGAAGTGACCTTTTTCTGATGCCTGTATCACACATTGGCTCATTCTTGAGGATATAAAGCTATTATTTCTCTACTGTCTTCTATCTGGACTTCATCTCAGCCTTAGTGCCTACAAAAGAAGGAAAGTGAGACAAAGCAAGCAAGCAAGGAAGGAAAAAAAAAAAAAAGCACAGTTTATAGCAGAAATAGTGGCAATATTGAGAGTTCAAAGGAAGATTGAGAAAACTACTTCAACACTCATTTAACATACCAGGAGCGAGAGCCTTGGCCTTGAGCAGCACAAGAGAGACAGCGTGTTTGATCTGTTGATGGCTCTGCTGCAGCTTAGAGGAGGTGGCCGAGGAGCAGCAAGCCCCCACGTAGGTGCATGTTTAAAAAGGAGGTACAGCCTTCGCACCACTGTGACTGCTGGGCATAACCGGCGGTGGGAAAACTGCTTTAAACCAAGCGTCAGAGCTGGTGCTCCAAGGTCAGGGCAAATGAAAGGTGGTTTAAAGCCACTTTCCATTCATCCCATGTGAATGGTTTCTGGGCTTATCGTCATCCCCAAACACAAGAGACACTTCATTTTCCACACACAGAGCCTTTCATCTCATGGCTTCTAAATGTATCAATATTAAATGCAAAAGTCTTTACTGAATTTTCATCCTAGCTTTATTCACTTTCCTCCCATGATTGTAAAGGGACTGTTCTTTAAAATACCATCCCTAATCAGGGCGAGCGCCCCTACATTCCTGGAAGTACCATATTCCCCATTTTGAGGCCTCTGGCACTTACTACAAAGCTGCAATTCAGCATAGCTGTAAGCACAAATTTTTTGAATACCATGCATAGGTATATTAAGGCCCATAGCTCTTCAAAGTTACACCTAAACAAAGGTTCCAGTTCATGCAAGATGACTGGTTTTCAAACTTTCTGGATTTCAGTACTACGCACTGAGTAAAATTTTGGTTTCGATTCATCTCCAAGAGACAAAAATGCAGACATCTACACACAAAATTCAAGATAACCCACCTACATTGATTCACTGAAATATCAAAACTGAAATCCAAGAATGGCAACAGAAAACCAGAATCTTAGCAGAAGATTATAGCTGTAGCTTCGGCTTTGACACTGTTCATTATAAACACACACACTTACCTGATTAATAACATAAAAAATGCTATCATAAGCATCCTGCTGTGTATATATACTGCAGCTGTAGTCATCTTCATCAACTCCAGAATAGCCTTTCAGGAATAGGTGTTTAAAAGCAATAGTGTTTTCCTCTTTGAATGAGACCACCAACTGGTTACTCAAACCAAAAAAAATAAGCTGACAAGAGAAAAAAAAAACAAACCACAACAAATTCAGATTTTGAATACTGGTCAAGTAGCAACATTTTGGAAACAGCTTTGAATACATAAATACAATGAATGAATAAATACAAAACAGAAGAGTGCCTGTTGCTGTAACCCTGCTAGAATAGGAGCAAAGAATCTGTTAACTAATGCCATAAGACTCCTAAAGTCAAGGTTACCCCATGCAGGGTAAGAGAAACAGAAATCAAAGTCTCCCACTGATTCCAAAACTTACAGTGCAGCAACTAAACAGACAGCTAGATCACTGCCACCTTTCACGCAGCCCGGACCAACAACTCTAACTGGAATTTGCCAAAACTTTTGTTGAGGATGCAAGTGGCAGAACCACCAACCTACAAGCGCAGCCTGCTACCCCATAAATGCCCTGCTTTGCTATGGGACAAATTCCTGCACCTTCTTCCTACCTCTGGCATGGCACCGGATTAGAGCAAATCTACATGGGACCTCACAGCAACAAAAAGCATCACCTGCCTGACCCAGGTGCTGGTTAAGGAGGCTATAATAAGAAGCAGCAGTAGACAGCAGAGTTACTACTCAGGATTTGTGTTGCCCAACCATACAGATGCTCCCAATTCTACCACCACCAAGGAAAACATACAAAGGGAGCCTAGAAGCTGGGAGGGGTGGGGGGGGAAATCAAGCAACAAGAGTTTCTTCACTCGCATGGCAGTTTAACCCTGGCTGCATGCCAAGTGCACACCAAAGCCGCTCCCATCACTCCTCTTCTCAACCGGACAGGGGAGAGAAAATATAACAAAAAAAAGCCCAAGGGTCGAGACAAGGACAGGGAGATCACTCAGCACTTACTGTCATGGGCAGAACAGGCTTGACTTGGGGAAAATCAGTTTAATTTATTACCAGTCAAATCAGAGTAGGATAATGAGAAATAAATATTAAACCTCAAAACACCTTCCCCCCACCCCTCCCTTCTTCCCAGGCTCAACTTCACTCCCAATTTTCTCTACCTCCTCCCCCAGAGCAGTGCAGGGGGATGGGGAATGGGGGTTGCAGTCAGTTCATCACGCGTTGTCTCCGCTGCTTCTTCCTCCCCATGGGAGGACTCCTCACACTCCTCCCCTGCTCCAGCGTGGGGTCCCTCCCGCAGCAGACAGTCCTCCAGGAACTGCTCCAGCGTGGCTCCTTCCCCTGGGCTGCAGTTCTTCACTAACAGCTCCAGCATGGGTCCCTCCCACGGGGTGCAGCCCTTCAGGAGCAGACTGCTCCAGCGTGGGTCCTTTCCATGGGCTATATCTCTTCACAAACTGCCCCAGCGTGGGTCCCTCCCACGGGTGCAGCCCTTCAGGAGCAGCCTGCTCCAGCGTGGGTCCCCCGTGGGGTCCCCAGCCCTGCCAGCAAACCTGCTCCAGCCTGGGCTCCTCTCTCCACGGGTCTGCAGCTCCTGCCAGGAGCCTGCTCCAGCACAGGCTTCCCACAGGGTCACAGCCTCCTTGGGGCACATCCCCCTGCTCCGGTGTGGGCTCCTCCCCGGCTGCAGGTGGATCTCTGCTCCCCCAGGGGCCTCCATGGGTGCAGGGCACAGCTGCCTCACCATGGGCTGCACCAGGGGTGCCGGGGAATCTCTGCTTTGGTGCCTGGAGCACCTCCTGCCCTCCTTCTGCACTGACCTTGGGGTCTGCAGAGTAGCTCCTCTCACGTATTCTCACGCCAGCTGCAGTCTGTGTTCCTTTGGTTCCCCCCTGCCCCCCTTCTTAAATACATTATCCCAGAGGTGCTACCACTGTCACTGATGGGCTCAGCCTTGGCCAGCAGCCAGTCTGTCTTGGAGCCAGTTGGCATTGGCTCTATCGGACACAGGGCAACCTTCTAGCATCTTCTCACAGAAGCCATCCCTGTAGCCCCCCTGCTACCAAAACCTTGCCATGCAAACCCAATAGACATGAGTTTCTTCACACGTATAGTAGCAGGAGGATATCCCAAGCCCCAGAGAGCTAACTCCTCATGCTAGGTTTAAACTAACAGCAAATGTGAAACTGTCTCATCGCTGCATGGAGTTTCTAAGCCCCACAAGAAACTGCCAGAAGTAGGGAAGAAGTAAGAGTGAGAAACTGCAAGCAAAAGAACTGTGAACTTAGAAATCCCCCAAAGCAAACAGGCAGACTCCACTAACACCCAAATGCCTTCATTCAAAATAACGGGAACTGGAAAGCACACCTGTTTTTTTCCCCCTTCACTGGAATATGTCATCTTTTGTCCTAGACAGTAATTGCTTAGATCTGGGCCAGGCTAAAAGAATATACGCAACAGGACTATTTAGTGCAAGGCTGTTTGGTTGTACAGTAAAGTCACAACCAAGACAGAGAAATGGGGATGTCGGCTCTGCCAGGTATATACAGTCTTCAGATTAAGAACTGAATCTTCATACTTTTAGCCAAGTTTTAAATCAACTATTTATATCTTCAGTTGACTGCAAAAAAATCACTGAGTGCTACAGATAAATCTGCAGCATCCTAGTTAATATGTCTAAAGAAATCGGGGATCTTCCAGCTGCAACACACAGAGAAAAAACATATTCTGCAGGGTTTCCTCGGGGGAATCCCTAGGGGATTTCAGCACAGCGTTGGAGTAAAACTTACTCCCCGTACTGGAACAGAAGCCTCTTCTGCTTTTCAGTCAGGCACAGATAGCCCAGCTGCCGCACCACGCTGAAGAAACCACAAGTGTCATGACTAACAGGCTGGCGTCAGGCAGAAGCAGCTAGCAGGAGGCTTAACTTATTCCTAGGTTGTCCTTCAAGGGTCTTGCCCTCACTCGGAAATACAGAGATGCTTGTTGAACCCGTCCATTTACCATTAGCTCACATTTGAGACCTCCCTGCAGAGCGGCAACACATTTTCCTTCAGAAACTGTTTTCCCTTCCTTGTTGACTCCCTGCCTGGCATCTGAGCGAGACCCAGGGCCGACGAGAAAAAAACTTAAGCAGCAACCTAGAAAATCCTGTGGCCTTTGAAAGCCAAGCAGCAGAGCACCCCTTCTGCTCACCAAGGGTAGTGGGAGACTAGGACAGCAGACAGAAAAATGACACGTTCAGTGACTCTCCCAAGAATTTAAGTCAATAAGTTAGGAGAGATTGAAAGCACTGAAACTCTTCAGAGCCATGTGAAGTTGTATTTTGTCTCATTACTCACACACAAAGGTTACTGCCTGGTGTTTGAGGAGAATGTAATAACCCGCAGCTGAGGTGCGGCTGCCAGTAAAGTAAGATGGGGCAACCTGTCCTCTTCGCTTACACTGTGCTCGCGCTGCCCATCCCCTCCTCCCCCGCAACACCTTAACACGCTCCCTGTTCTCAGCAGCTCTGACCCTACGGGTAGCAATTGTGCCAGCACTAGTGTAAGCAGCCTGTTTCAGCTAGCTTTGCCTAGACAGACCGAGCACTGCATCCCGCTCCCACCTGTGAAGAGAGCGCCGGCACGACGCCAGCGCAGCACGGCAGCAGCAGAGGCCAGACCCCATGCCAGCGGGGCCAGGGAGCCTGCCACGTCTCTCCAGCGGGGAGATGAAGAGTGGGAGCGGTCAATAAAACACAGGGACACTAAAGCCGGGGTTACGCTTCGTTCTAGCGGGCAAGTCAAACAGCAGCCTGGAATCCTGCAACTCAGCACGTTTTTAGGAGTTGTATATCTAGCAAAGTGTCAGATGTCAGAGTCCTGCATTTCAAAGGTCCAGAAAAATAATTTCTACTTATGCATGTGTCCCGTTTTGTTTCCCTCGACCCCCAGTCACTGTTTCCTAGTGGACTGTAAGTTAACCAACTACACTGTGATACCGGTGCAGTTTAAAATCCGCCCTCTTCTTTGCCTCTACCTACCTAGGTACCCGACTGTTTGAAATGCATCATTTGGCGACAGAAGCAAGGGGCATGTCCGATTCCTGTAGCCCAGTCTTCCCCATCATCACCAGAGACTGTAGCGTTTTTCACACTGAACATGTACTTTTCAAGTTACTGACTAGATTTCAAGAAATATCACTTCTGAAACAGCCCACTAAAACTACAATCTATGAACGTAACAGGAAGCAGAACATAAAGTTGTACTACGACAGCAAGCCTGAAGACAGTGTTGGATTTAGTGGGAAGAGTAATTTGCTTTAAAGCATTATTTTAAAAACAGCAAAATACCTGGTCAAATACTGCCCCAAAATCTCCAGGAGGCTTCTGTAATTTAGTTTATGTTGTTCTTACCCCTCGACACACCTTTCATAGTGTTTTTTGGTTTTGTTTTTTGGGTGGTTTTTTGTTGTTGTTGTTGTTTTTTTTCCTTCCTTTCTGGACTGAAGCAGGAAGTTCAAGTCAGTAACAAATATCCAGGGATGGCAAAGACCCAGAACCACATACCTGCTTCTCCTGCACATCATTGCTACGCTTCCTAAGAGTAAAAACAGAGGAAGGATTACCTGTGTAGTAACCATAAGTATCTTCAAGATCTGCAAAGCCAGTTTCCATGGTATTTGGCGTCTTGCTCTGTATTTTTCACATGGGTTCATGAAGTAAAACTTCAAATCCTCTTTCAGAGCCATCTCTTTTCCATCTAAATCTGACTGAGCCATCATATTTCTGCCATAAACAATATAATACATTAATTAGAAACCAACAGAACACTTTGGCAGACAATTTCCTCATATGCAGTTTCACCTCAGATCACCACATGACATAACAGACCTGCAAGAGTTTTCTGTTTGTTTTACAGCAAAATGCAAGAAGTATTTCCCTATGATCACATCATTAAAAATCGTTCAATCACATCAGAGCATCAAAACACAACATTTACACAACTATTTCTCAGGAAATAGACATAAAATAAGAGGATCTGTAATAGCAAGTCTACATTTATCTCTTTCTTAAAACTAAATATTTGAACTAAACAGAGGCCACTGTTAACACATTTCTCTGAATAAGCCACATTCTACCTCCAGAAAAAGGTGTTTTAAAGACTAAACAGCCAGAGCAGGCTTCACAGCACGCTTCTGTTACGAACATGCAGCTTTAAGGGCTAAACTCACAGGCAGTTATTTATTTAAATATCTGGGCATGTAAAAATTAGAGGAACAAGCACAGAGGACTATTGTTGTAGGTGTCTTAAATCACTCCAAGTTTCTCCCTCTCAGCTGAACGGGACATTGAAAACTTTCCCCTTCTCCTAATCTTAAACCTGTTTTCCAGTACCATAATTGTCAGAACTTTCCTACTTTGCACAAAGATCAGAACTAAACTTGTAATTTTTTTCCTTCCTCCTCCATGTGTTAGGGTAGAGCAATCATATCTGAATATCACTGGCTACATAAGCCGATTATCAGTCCCCTTTACTATCCAGAAAATTACTCCCCATGGTCTGAATTTTATAAAGGATAACTCCCCATGTTCCAAATTTTATGAAGGATAACATTTTCTCTCAAGGTCAAAACCAAAAGCATCACTTCCAAGTTTTCAGATGCACTCTTACTTCTTTTGTCCTCACCTGTCTGAAGTGTTTCGGTATTTAAGCCCAAACTATAGACCACAAAGCACATTTGATTTGCTAGAACCAGCTATCTCGTGAGAAGAGAAATGAGAGTTAAAAAACACAGTAAAGTCAACACTGTGGTGTTTCCTCATAAGAGGAAGTGAAAACACCCCAAAAAATATTTTTTAACATTAGAAGCTCAAAGGTTATCTTTATTACACAGCCTTAAATCAACCATTCATGAAGATGATGGGAAGTAAGCTGATTTTGGGTTTGAGACAGGGAAAACACAGGCAGGTTTTTAAGAAAGAGAAACTGTGGAGTACATCCCCATTTAAATTTATAATAAAAACATACTGGACTAGTTTTAATAATGTTTATGATATAAAAGCTTTGAAAAATTTAAACGCATCTGGCAGAAAAGCGTATGGTAGTTACAGCTGTGAGTATTGATTGCCTAAGGAAACAGGTACACGCGTACTTCAATCCTCCACCGACACCTAAAGACATCGCTACTCCTGTACCATCTTCTCTTGAAGGGGCAGCAGCATTTGCGTGGGTACACCATGAACGAGACCAAACGCAGAGTGGAAGTCACAGGAGGAGGTGGGAAAGAAAGAGGAAACAGAGCTGGTTTAAGCTGGATCTGGTCAAGACTTAAAGCACAAAGGTATGGTGTAAGAACCACTCCAAGACTTCAGCAAAATCTTCCCCTGAACTTCCAGTAAAAGCATCTCTGAAGTGACAGATCTTAAAAATCAAAGAGCAAACCTTGCAAGAAACACTACTTCCTTTGATACTCAAATACACACCATGGAAGTCATGGTGGTTTTTTCCCCAAGTGGTCTTTCGAGCCCCTACAGCTATTCTAAAAACTTGATGCTGACTAATAACAATAATTTTGCTTTTACACAACCCTCACTTCACTCCACCAGCTAGGGACTATTTCCACTGACGCCTTTAGCTTCATTTATGAATTAGCTGTAGAAACTGTAAGCAGGAAATTCAGCCAAGGAAAGCAACATACTTTTTCAGCGTAAGAGGAAGAGAGGAGATTTAAGCCTATATCACTGTTGGACTTTGTCTTCCAATAAAGAAGAGGCGTTCTCTGGTGTAATAGTCAAGAAATAATTCATTCGGCAGTAGGTGAAATACAGCAATTGTTTTCTAATCCATTTGTTTCTAGAATAGATTCAAAATAACATCCAAAGAAACTGCATTAAATCTGCAGAACTAGAACCTTTAACCAAAGCATTAAAAAAAGTTAAAAAGCTCCGAGCAATTAACAGCGACTTACCTTATTTAAAACGAACCATCTAGTTCTACCAAATGTTTATTAGCCTAATAATTTAAAAATAATCCAGACAAAGCACCTAGCTCAAGACAGAGTAACAGAACAATTCAATTCAGACACAGTAGCGTCGTTAACACCGCTCAATAGGTTTCCATGGTATGTTTTGCGAAGCACTGATACAAGCAAGTTTTGCGAATGAAGACTAACCCTACTGTGCATGTTTAAATGCATATCCAAGTGTCATTAAGCGTGGCGTGTCAGAAATAATAATTATTACTAATGCAATTCTAAAAGCTTCATTAGGATAGCCGCCATCGCAACGCTGTAGCTGGCGGGACAATCTGTTGTTTGGATCATGTTTTGTCGTGAGGCACTTTTAAAGCTCAGTGTTCCAGTCAAGAAAGAGGCTTCCACAGCAATGAGCAGCGCTTAAAGCCACCTACTTCGGAAATAAGCATTTAACCGTAGCGCTTCAGCGAGCGAGAAAGCGCCATTGAATCAAGTGCCTAGAAAGCTATAGGGCACAGATGCACCTTTAAAAAAAAAAAAAAAAAAAAATATATATATATGGGGGGGGGAATAATTCACTATAGGAGCAACACTAACACTGTCCATCAGAGAGTCGTATCAGGAATATTCACCTACTTGAGCTCTACATCTTGAAGA